AAATATTGACTTGCATACATTTTTTGGTCGAACTTCCGACAGGAAGGGAATCTGAAACCGATAGACAGAAACGTGATACGTGACGAAAAAAGAGAAACAGAAATGTAACTGTGTTCGCAAGTTCACTCATTTTACGCTTTTTTCCCAAATGATGAAACACCCAATACTCAATAATTCAACCCCGATTGTCCGGGACGAAGATAAAGATGTAAGAAACCACGCAATAATAGATTCATGTAATAGATTTATCAATCAGAAACAGCTCCAAAAAACTCACGGAATTGAAGGCTGAACGATATCACATATCTGTCAGCACATCTTGTTTTTCGATCCTTTATACCGCCAAAATACTGCCATACATATGGTACCTTATTGTTATTATTTTTTCCCAATGCTTTTTGCCAACCATTTTTGTTACGCAACTGCAGTCCAACAACGTACGCCTTTATTTAAGTTGCGAGCTTTATTTCAACGTAGCTCATGTCCACAAATGAGGAAAACCTCAAACGCGGAGTGCTTGACTAGGTTATGGATTCCAGCCGAACCCCTGACAATATTACCGAACATCTGACACTCGATCAATCTCAAATTGGTACCGCTGAATCTTACACAATACAACTGATTAAAATCAAAAATACCTGCCTATTATTAAGCAGCAAATCCGAAACTCATTCGACACCTATTCCTTCAAAACACACACGAAGCAAACAGTTTGAGACAAGCACCCTTACCGGGTACCGTGTAAAACTTAAAGTCAATATTTATTTCATCTTTCAAAGCAATAAATCACGTGGTTTACGCATGATTTAGCACGTATTGTGACTGTGTTTATTCAATGGTCCTTCTCAACCGATCTCTCGACGGTGCGCAAAGTGAGGTCGCGAGAGTTCCGGATACGCTCAAATTATATTGACCTATTTTTTGAGAATTAATCGACATCAAGAATTGAAAACAGATTTTGATTCGCCGACGATGTTGTTTTGTCGCCGAGTTGTTTTCATTGAAATTAAACTGCGAACAATCCGATTTATCTTCATGGTGGCGAGTGTTCACATTTAATGAAATTATTTGGGACAAACGTAAATATTTAATGATTCTTAAATCACTTCTGCTGGTCACCAGTAAAGGCGCTCCAAAAGTATGTGTACCAATATAGAGGTAACTAATTTTGTTCGCCTATTTTACATCAAGTTGTATAAAGAACTGAAACCTATAGGAAACCTATATTGACTTAGCTAACACTGACAGTCGCCGAACTTGTAATGGAACTAAATTAGGGAAAATCGGAATAAAGTTATGGCCTAACGCCCTAACCCTAACTTGGTATACACATACTACGGGAATAACCCAATAAATGTCCAATATATTAGAAAGCAAACAAATTATGAAAAGCATCTGTATAGATCGCTGAAATATCGGAACGAAATAGAATAGAATGGCCCATTTAAAATTGAACAGTTATATATTCGATAAAATATAAATGTACGAAATTCTCGAACACGCAATAATTTGCGAGATATCAGTAGCGTGTACCTAGCTATTGTTATTTTGACAATACGGGGTGTATTAGGGTATTGTGTAGTGAACTGCAAGTCCTTTCTCCTTGTTTACTTCCTACTTCGAATCTGCATGTGTCAGTTGCCACAAGGATGCTTGAACGAGATAGTAATATAAAGATAAATAAAAACAACATATTCTCTTTATACACATATACTTGCTATTTCGTGAGAGTAGATTGTGTTATTTTTATTGTTTTTTCCCTCTGCTTTTGTGTTGGTCGATTCCTATGTACTAACTGCAAGGATACTGCAGAAAAAATTAAAACGGCCAAATTGCGTTGTTTAAAATTCTTGCATCTATTCAGTGCTAATATTGAATTGTAATATTGGGGGCTTGGAAAAAAAAATAAATGAGTTAGGCTAACAATACACAAAAGACATAATATATCAATGGAAAATTGAAGCATTGAGTCAAGCGCGACAAATTGCTTTATTAATCTTACAAGCTTCAAAATAATCGAAGGTATCTGAAACGTTTATTTCATTTTCGGAAATTGAAAACCGCAAGTTGGCAGCATATCAACATTTTTATCCCACACTTGCACCGTTTCTCATTGGCGAACCCTAGCGGTAAGAGGTATTCATAGTTTTAAGGGAAAAGATTCCTCAACGTTCTGGAGTTGCAGTAGACCGAATAAAGGTGGTTTTTGGGATAGGCCAATTTTCTTTAAAGCTAGAACAGGGATGGACAAGGTTTCTAGACCAGGGGCCAAAGCTTTTGTCCACCAAGACTGGCGGGCCATGTAATTGTAACGAAAATAGTTACACGTGACGCACACGAGACGAAATGAAGAGGTGTGAAAAGCATCGTCAAAACGAGTAAGCGACAAAACGTAAAGTTTTGTTAACATCCCCATATCAGGAAAGTTTGTGGCTACCTGAAAAATCACTTACACAGACTACGATCACAATCTAACAAGCATATTGCAGGACAAGCCTGAATCATCCAACTGGTCGAATTTGGCCTGCAAGCCGTAGTTTGCCCATGCCAAAGCTAGAACCACAAATTTTGTCTTCAATCTCACTTTCAAATATCACTACGATCATCTACTTTAAAACGATACTTATCCAAACTCCCTAAAAAATGAGAAAGAAAATTATATTTCAACCTACACGAGCACTACATCTCAAATCACGTGTTCGCGCGTAAGGTTTTAGGCTCCCAGTATTATTGTATAAAGGTAAAAGCCATGTTTAGAAATTACCTGAATCCATAAGACAAAGTTCAAATTCCATTTAAAACTCAAAAAGCATGCCAGAACCAAACTTATTGTAGCTCAACAATGTTATCTCGGATCCTAGAGTCCAAATTGAATTTTTTGTGAACTCGAAGTCAGAATAGAAACTTTCGTCAATTAGGAGTCGGCTGTTTGTCTCGGAGTCGGACGTCGGAGTCAAACTTTTTCAGATTGCGTGGTACTGAATATTTCCACCAATTTCTTAATCCCAAGCTAACTGAATAGCCACTAATCGGCCATTTACGTTCAAATGAGAACACTTCCATTTGGAAGACAGCAATTAATACATCACAGATTTATATTTAATCTCTTTCTTGTTGCTATAATCCTTGACAGGTACAAATCGGCTTTGGTAATTCCTTAGGGACATGACTTGAAAAAAAAATGATAAAATGAAATAGATTATCATATCAATTTGAATCAATAACACTTTTCGTGTATGGCCAGGCCAGGCTTGCATTAAAGGGGATGTTCATTATTTTCTCGCTAGCATTCTTGCGTGGCACGCATTCGGCATAAATAAACGCAAATTAATAACGCAAGGAGAGATAGGTTAATCTCGCGTAACCCCACCCGATAATTCAAATTGCAGTGCTCCAAATGCCTTGAACTTTTAAACAACGATTAGTCAGTTCCAATGCGCGTCATTTCTACCTTTCCTTGCCACATACAACGGATGCGCAAGTGTGTCCCCCAAGGCGAGTAGGGTATTTGGAACATATTCTAAAGGGAACATGTTGCAAAATCTTTTATGCAAAACGTCTAGATTTCTGAAACTTTTGTTGTGTATAATCATACACCGACAAAAGGGTAGACAAAATTAAATAATTTATTTATATTCATAAAGGTATAACTAAGGAATTTGTTTTGTGACAGATCGATCAAATAATCACAAAGCACGAAAACTGTTCAAACATTCATAGTCTGGCAGAAAAATACCAAAACAACAAAATCAAGGGCCTTCAAACATAAAAATGGTTTCGAGGACCAGCAGTTGAGAACCACTGAATTAGAGAATAAAATAAATTATTCAAAACTTGGCCGATTTGGGCCGATCGTGATTCGTATATATATATATATGTATATCCGTATGAGTGTTACTTTATGATCAAGAATATACCATAAAGTGTTGGCAGTCATTTTTTTAAAAACAATATTCGATGTTTTAAGGATTATATCCTAACTTGAAAGTGTAATTAGCAGAATTGCCAATAGTGTTTATGTTAACCAGGCGCCCTCAAGTCTAATCCGAGACGCTTTCCCCCTCTGGAATAGATTTAGAGAAAAAAGTTACATCGATGGATCGTGTTTTCGATGCTGGTAGTACAGCAGAAAAGGTTCATTCTAAGAAGGTGTTTAGAAAGAAATTGTTTTATTCTTGCTCGGAAAGATATTCATCAGATTTCGATTAGATTCTGGAGAGAGGTGTTTTCAAATTTAGACGGTGCTATATATTTTCCGCTCTACGCGTTTTAGGATTGCCCAGTTGCAATAACTTTTTTAAAAATGCAAAAAGAGTGTTTTTATTTCGAATTATTAGTGTAGCATTTGCCTCACCTCAATTTGAGTAGGAGACGAAATATTGGAACAACAACAAATCAGTATTTCTATGACCATGAACTGGAGACAGAAAAAAATTAGATTTAGTCTGGGTCTCTTAAATGGAATTATCAAGACCACATACAATCACACTTGCATGCGTTCAAACTGGTTGCTTTATTTGCCACCTTCCAAAATGGGGGTGGTATGTGTTAAAATTTTGAAGGCGAGTAGGGTCTTCACCCCTTATATAGGTAAATGAAGAGGGGGGCGTAGAAGAAGGGGGATGGAGGGAAGTCACTGTGTTAGAGTGAGACAATATTTTAATTTAGGTAGATTAAGAAAAGGACGGCTTTATATTAGTAACTGCTGAACATGTACAAATTGGAATGATGTTAAAATTAAATAAATATATATTGATACTTTATGTTGTGTTGCCAAATAGAATTTAAAATACTATTTGCATTTCTGTTTTTGACTTTTTTTCGACAAATATATTCACTGGCTATCGGTAAAACAAAAGTAGAAAAGGAATAAAAAAAATTAAATATAAATCGCATTGGTAGTGCCATTAAGAACAGTGGGGAGGATTTATATCTTACATCGATATATCATGATGAGTTTGTTTAATCCTTTTTTTTTCACTTTTCTTCAGTTACGAATACTTAAATTGATAAGAAATGAAGTCACCAATATTTTTCTTTACGCTCCTGCTTCTTGCAAGTCATTCAATCTCTGCTACCGAGAGAGGAAGGCTCGAATACTTCAATAAAATCATCTGCAGCCATTGTTGGGTTCGTTTGTACAGATTTTGCAATGTTGGAGTCCGGCTTTCAAAACGAAGTGGTAAGTAGAAAAGTTTGCTCTAGAACAATTGATTTCGTAAAATGTGTTTTACATTTTATTGCACAAGAATAATACAATTTATTTCCGCCAAATAGGAAGTAATTTAGGTATTCCCGTAAAGTCTGTACCAAATTAGAGTTAGGCCATAATTTTATTCCGATTTTCCTTATTTTAGTTCTATTACGAGTTCGGGGTCTGTCTGTGTTAGCCAAGTGAATATACCCCTGCCCATAGGTTTCAGTCCCTCTACACAATTTGATGTAAATAAAGTAGGAGAACAAAATTAGTTACCACCTTATTAGTGCACATACTTCTGAAGCGCCGTATTAAATGCTATCTCATATCTAACTTAACGTTTCCCAACCGAGGATTCTATTGTTTTTGAGGAGGGAAATATGGTAATATTACTTTGTATTAAGTGTAGTTTTACTAATAATATTTAGCTATTCAGTAATATTGTAATACATATTTTGCGAACATTATAAACTATCTCAACGATGCAAGAACCAGTGTGAATCTTAAACTAGCTGAAGAATCTGTAAATAGTGAACAAATAATAATTTTGATTCATAGCGAGGGAGGGAGAAAAGTTCCGAAATAAGGGAAAATAAGTTCCAAAAGGGAGGATTTTTTGAAAAAAAAGATTGGGAAACACTGGTCTAACACTTCAGACAAAACAAGATGTAACTCAATCGAACAGCATTTTGCTGATGATCTGTATTACGTGAACTCTCCCAACTACACCTACTATTTCGTGGAAAGACAGTATATTACTTTTATTTGTCACTTCGATGATTTGTAATGTTTTGTTCTAATCTATCACCAAACACTGAAGTACAGAATGACCCTAGAAAGGTCGGCCTTCATAATTTTCCTAATTACTACTACGAAAATCGAGTTATTTATTCAATTTTGTCCACACTTGAACTTCTGTCTGTGTATGATTGTAACCTATATATTAGTTATATGAGATGTGACACCATTATTTTCTGGAGTTCATTATATTAGCGATACATGCTCCAACCTTTCCCTTATCTATATATTCGGTTTGCGTAATCATTTATTATTAATGTAACAAGGATTACTTTTCAAGCCCATGTTTTTATTAACAGCTTGACTTCTTTATCTAAGACACCGTATCGTAACATAAAAATCCCATTTGATATAATTGAATAATATTCGATATTGAATTTAATTGATAATATTTAATTATAACTATCCTATGCCTAAGTGTTTTGGATATTTTTTTATAGTATTTGATCAAATAATATTTTGTTTTAAAATTATAAAATTCCTCCTTTTGTCTAACTAATTAACAACGGGTTCTCTCTTTAACAGAAAAGTTCCCCCTCTTTACATAACTCTCGAAACGCCGAATATAAAGTTAGTCGTTAGCTGCGATACATGTTTGCTGCGGTCGTCTAACGTCTAAAACAAAAACCATGAACAAGTGCGGGCGAACTCCTGAATTCCACCACTGGTAACTGGGTGAAGCCGCGGGCCGCACCTTTATTTAATATAGATTCACTTGTAATTACCGGTACAAAAATTGTTTATTTTTGCTAGTTATCTTACGACATTATTAGGGTTACTTGCAGAAATAGTGAGTTGAACGCAAACTTCTGAAGAAACGGCTCTTTATGGTTTTATTGCCACACAAACTTTAATCCTATTTAGTGAGAAACACGTTTTTGTAATATATATCGTGTATTTTGCAACAGAATTTTGCTTGCCAGTTTTGCTAATATGACAGTGGCACACAGGTACTGGTATAGGCTATGTGGCGCAGAAAGAATTGCTCGCACGCACCAGATTGCCTAAACTAAATACTCGTTCCGCGGGCACACCATTCAAAATTGTTTTTTCTCTGCGGGGCGCACAAATATTTCTTGCGGGCCGCATTTGGCCCACTGGCCGCAGTTTGCACATCCCTGATTCAGACAATTACATTACGGGATAGAAGTACAGTTTTTTGGGTTTTTGACTTCATCATGTTGAATATTGCATAACGATTGATATCGGAATAATCACATTTCCAAATTAATTAAAATTCTACAAATTTGAAACAAATTTAATCCACCGAAACAAAGAATTTGATACCAGCCAATATGTGATGTGTGTGACCTGATCCAGCCGCGTTCTAATAAATAATGCAAATCGATTCTCTAAATTTAGTAATTTGGAATGAAGAAATGAGATTTGGTTAATTCCGTGACGATTTGATCAATTCGTCGAACGAATTACAATTTGTTTCGTCAATTTGTTAAAGGTCCGATAACAACAAATGCAATTATGTCAACATTTAACGTTTTTGTCTACGTGTTGGTCCGTAATTGTGAATTTTTTGAGACTTTCGTTTGATTGGCATTTAATGGTTATGGTAATGTAAAGCCTAGGCTTTCGACTAATTAGAATTTAAATGTCATGGCAATGTCAAGCCATAATATGGCTATAAAGAAAGGCCAATAAAAAGTAACAACCAATGTAATGAAGGAGTGTTTGCAAGTTCAAGTGTTTTTCGTCACGAGTCGTTCGGCTGGGTCGTAACAATGGCGCAAAATGACGGCTTCCGAGCCATAAAAGTATAAACCTCTGTTTGCTGTCAAAATGCCTTCAACAGTTTTATTTTTGTTGCGATACCTTGTACTCAAGCTCCAACATACATTTAAATGGACATTCGGACATAATGTTCTAATATAAGCACAGCCATAAAGATAAGATATTTTTTGCAGTTGATTTCTTCCTGAAGGTGGTGCGTTTAACACTCTTTAATAAGCGCATATTGCAACCGAGATTTCAAGCTTGAGCCAAATCTTCAACCTCGAAACCATAGTCACCAAAGAAATGTGTCAAGCAAATCTATATAAACACGATTTTTATTTTATCAGGGGTAAAAATTATTTTAATTGTGAATTTAATTTAATTACAGTAATCGCAGAAAGTCAAGCTATAGTGCCACAGATTCTTCAGGTGCAAAGGTCAATGATCAGTCAAGCGGAATCAATGACGTCATTGGAAAACCGACCACGCCCTCTGTTGGAGAGAAGACAAGGAAACGTTAGACATGTCAGAATAAGAATCAAGAACTGTAACTTTTGTAGAGATCGGTGTTATAGATAGTGATTATAACATGACCGCATGTAATAATCAATTAAATAATTTGTTTAAATTGAGTTTTTTTTATTTCAAATTTAATCAAACGTAGATTATTTGTTTGTTCTTGTTTAAATGGGTAGATTACTTTGATCAATGCTACTTTTATGATATTTCTATGATTGCAAATTAAAAAAATTACACTTTTACCACCTCTCTGGTTTAAAGTGATGTTGAGTTTGGCTTAGCGTGCCCCAGATTTACCAATAATCTTAAAAATCTTGAAAAAAATTTAAAATTTCAAAATTCAACTAAACGTAGATTGTTTTGTTTGTCCTTGTTTGAATATTTGCTAGAACTCTTTAATTTATTTTAATTTTATGATATATTATTTATTCTACTATCGCAAATGATAAAAATTGCACTCTTATTACTGCTCTGATTCAATGTTATGTTCAGATTTATTTGGCTTGCCCCAGTTCTGACAATAAACTTTCTTTGAATTAAATTGAACAGTAGGACAGTTTCATTATTCATAGTTCTAGTAATAATAAACATATATGCCATATGTCTTTGTTGGATATAATGAGTCTTGAATTGGATGGTTCGAAAATAGGCAGTTGCGGAACGTATTAGTTGTAGCCTACCTTTGGGAATTTAGACCAAAAGTTGTGATACAGGTTTTTAATAGAGAAATACAATCAAGATATTGCGCAATTAATGAAGAATCGCTTTATCTTATTTTTCAATAAACTATTTGTCATACACGAATCGGTCTGCAGTAGCCACTTGTTAGCCAAAGTAATAACTATCATAAAAATACCGAGTATGATTCTGAATAGTAAACAACCAGTGGTGCCTACATCGATAGGACAACTCAAATAAGTTTCAGAGAAACTATTGTTTTGGAACTTCTATTTTATAATCCAGTTCTATCTAGGCCAAAATCACGGTTGGGCAGAGAGTTCCATAATTTTAACACAGTTGATACCAGACGGTATGATAAACGGTTTCGTGAGTACTCTGATTACCCTGGGTGGGTTCGCCGAATTTAATCTCGTGTGAGGATAATTATGTGCGATTGAATTGTTGGTCGATTACGGCTTCCTCAGCCAACGAATGCAACTATCTGAGACCTATAATACGAGACGAGAGGCCGTGGTACTTCATTTAATTAGGCCATCTTATTGATAGGCTACTCTCTCCCTGAAATAAATATGAAAACCCTATCCTATATGAATTTCCTGAATGATACCCGATAAAAAAGTTAGCATTCACTCCGTCTACATTACACAGTGACAGAAAATAATAGTAACGTGTTTCGACGCTAGGTTTTGAGAAAGTTCCTGAAGTAGCAGTTATATCGGGTGTCCATAAAATTATAAATTTTTTTAATATTGCGAAGGAAATTTATCGTTGCCCTATGTTGTTTTGGCCCTCGCAGATGTACCAAATGAAGTAAAAATACCCAATCAATTACTGATTAAAAAACAACAAACCTGGTTAATATATATTGAGAACTGACTTCATAATAAAATTGAAACTATGAAGGGACTTTATGGACACCCTGTATAGTATGTAAGGGTTGTAATTGTTCCGACCCACTATGCCTTCCCGAATGTTATTACAAAATTTGTGAAATGTGGGCTTTTTACTTCGGGAATCAATTCACCATCAATTATACCAACATTAAATGAAGCTGATTTTCAGAGGTTTGATTTGTAGAATATTCATTATCTTAACCGTTAGCGCTACGACACTAAAAATAACGATTACGAGAGACGAAATGTTTAAGCACAGACATCGGAATGCAGAGAACACGGTGACGTAACTAATAACTAGTGACAGTATAAATAAACAATAAAATATGACGTCGAGGATACGAAACAAATTTAAATAAGTCAATCGCGTGCTAACGATGTCCTTACAAAAGGAAACTCACACTTTGTCATTAAAATGTCTACTAATTGCAAATTCAAATTTTTAATTTAGTTTACTCGATTCCTGATTTGAAGATCTATATGGATTAGAGAATGATTTATGCCTCGCTAAATTATATTTTTCACCAGAAATGCTTGGTAAATTAGAAGCAGTAAAAATCACTTGTAACTGGTACAGAAGACACAAATTAAATGTTAGTGTTGCCGATCAAATACCGAGAAAAATACTACAGATAAGACTGTTGTACAGTAGTGTAAAATAAGAAATAAGAATAATAGGTTAAATTGCACTTTGTCGAAAGTATATTGCTCTTGTATTAATGCAGAAGAGTCAGCTTTCATTACTTCTTCTCTGAAATAGCGAGAATCAGGCAATCAGTAGCATTGCCAGACAGCCTTTAATTATTATGATCCAATTAATATACCATAAATTAATTTAATAATTGATTTACGTTAATATTTTCAACCCCTATTTCGAACATATGCCAAGATCAATAAAAGGTTAGAAACCGCAATTTCTAGAGTTTACGGCACCAAATCTAATGTTACCTGATCTAAGAAAAGTGTGGTATGTTGAATAACCAAGTGATTAGGAACGATAATTACTGGCAACGAACTTACTTTAATTTTATTCGAATTTGTGTAATTGCTATAGCAATCCATGTAGTTTTGACGTTAATAACAACTTCAAAAATACCGGTTACTTTGCAAACGCTGTGATGCCGTCATCGAGTCAAAATTTTAGTTAAATTAAGATTTTGTTGAAGTGCACGGTGATAAAATGGTGGTTATTTATATAATATGTGGTAACAATAATTTTACCAATAATGTTTTATATGGTACAATAAGTTTTCTTTGGCAAACTTTGTCGAGAAGTCATTCAAAATTTGATGAAGACTTTTCTATAAGTGCATGGTGATAAATGATGACTATCAAATACTTGGTAACAATAAATCCCATTTTAACAGTACATAAAGACTGCATTCGTGTATGCTTGAAAATATTCCTTATCGGTGTTAAAGTTATAACTAACTTGAAGCTATTAAAAACGATAATTACTGTGACTAACTTCTTCAATTTTATTCGAATTTGTGTAATTCCTATAGCGATCGATATAGTTTTTGTTATCGAGAAGTCATTCAAAATTAAATGGAGATTTTATATAAGTGCATGGGGATAAATGATGGCCATCATATACTTGGTAACAATTAAACCCATTTTTACCAATACATCGATACCTGTTCCCCTAAAAATTATTCCTTATCAGTAGCGTATCATGTATCGTTTTTTTGTGTTAAAAATTACGAAAATATCGTTTTCTTTGGCAAACTATATGATGCAGTTTTCGAGTCGAAAAGTTATTTAACATTAAATGAAAATGTTGTTCAAGTGCAATGATGGCTATCATATACGTGATGGCAATAAAACGTATTTTCTTCTCGGTAATAATGTTTCGCGTGTGAGAGAATATTCCTTATCAGTAGCGTATCATGAAGCGTTTTTAGGAAAGTTCACTAGGTCATTCGATGCGTGACATTGCTGTTTGTGTGTCGATTTCGACACGTAATGTTTTGGAGACACACCTTGGCCTTCCGTGACAATCAAGTTTCGCTTTGCAAAATCATTGGCTACGCTACACTCTGTAATCTGGTATATAGTTCGAATAAATATTAGATAGAGAACAATGTGATCTTAAAGTTTGCATTGAATTGCACGTTGTCCAAAGTATTTTGGCTTTTATTACTTCTTCCAGGAAAAAGTGGGAATCAGGCAATCGGTATCATTGCCAAAAAGCCCCTAATTATTTTGATCCAATTATTGTAACATAAATTAATTTAATAATTGATTCACTTTAATAATATCAACCACCATTTCGAAAATATGCCAAGGTCAATGAAAGGTTATAAACTGCGGTATATTTGAGTTTGTGGCATCTAATCTAATAATCTAATGTTACCTGATCTAAGTAAAATGTGGTTTGTTAAATAACCAAGTGATTAAGAACGATAATTACTGGAAACACACTTATTTTAATTTCATTTGAATTTGTGTATTTGCTATACCAATCAATGTAGTTTTTTGCGTTAAAACAACTTTAAAAATATCTTCGTTTTCTTTGTGATGCCGTTATCGAGCCCAAGGATTGATTAAATGAAGATTTTGTTGAAGTGCACTGTGATAAATGATGGCTATCATAAATTTGGTAACAATTAACCCCATTTTTAAATATACATCGAAACTATATTCGTGTATGCTTGAACATATTCCTTATCAGTAGCGTATCACGAAGCGTTTTCAGGAAAGTTCGCTAGGTCATTCGATGCGGAGACTTAGTTGTTTGTGTGTAATTTCGCCACGTAATGTTTTTCTGACACACCTTGGTCTTCCGTGACAATTCAGTTTCGCTTTGCACAATGATTTTCATACACTCTCTAATCTGGTATATTGTTTGAATAAATATTAGATAAAGAACAATCCGCTCTAAAAGTCCATCGAAGGCACACCTGTAAGCTAGCCCAATTTAATTGTCAAATAATATTGTGGGATTATCTCAATTACGAAAAAATGTTTCACACAGACCGTACAATGTTAACAAAATAAAAACATAGGTATTGAAAAAATGACGAGCTATCTAATAATGAGAAAATGAATTCATTTTTTTAATTATGCTCATTTGTAAATTGCCATTTCGAACAGCAACTGTATGTTATTAGACCTCATTTTTAGCAAATTCAATGAATGTTTCTTTTAACTTTGCTATAAATTTTTTCCCAAATGGAAAATTAAAATAATATATATAATAAAAAGCATGATAGCAAGTACGTTCATCGATTAAAAATAATATTCAATTTACTTTTACTTTGCATAATCACTTCAAACCTCAAACTTAGAAAAATCTACATAATTAAAATTAAATTAAAGGGATAGGTTACAGAGTTTAGCGAGTTAAAACTAAAAATATTAAATATTTGTTTTAGGTATAGCAAGAAAAGTTATATTTGAAAAATTTCCTAAAAATTCTTTATAAATAAATGATTACTGAAGATAAACAATTACTGTATTATCGATTCTTATAGGCTTCGATAACACAAAAAGCTTCCAATCTTTAAAAATATCTATATTTGAATATTCTCCAGTATTTCACAAGTATTACAACAGCGTTCCTCATCAAGCAAATTCTTGGAGCGAACAAACACCAGGCAATAATATTTTCTCAATAAGGCATGTTATGTATCAACAAAATAGCAGTTAGGCAATGCACTCAGCAAATAATGAAAATAAAATTTTAAATGCAAAACGATATTTTACTCTTCTATTGCTATTAAACATTGACGTCACACTGGACTAAGCGATAAAGAAACCTTTAACATAAGATAGGCAGATCGTAACACCGCCCCACAACAAACCACAAACATATTTGAGATGGGTAATACAAGTACGATAATTCGATGTTACTTGAGTACATGGGACCACAAAAATAAAACCAAAGTCATTCGGAACATATACTAGCTACAGCAGTGGTTCTCAAACTCTCGAGTCAAGTCTCGAGCCCCACATCAAAAATAACTGGCAAACAATAAGCTACAAATATCAGATAGTAAGACGAAAGTATGTTTTATTCAAAAAAACACGTTGAAAATACGTAGATGGAGCTTAAAATTTCGAAATAAAAAATGTAAATATTTAAAATATTGCTGGCAAGATCAAATCTAACAAGTAATTTTATATTTTAATTAGCTTTACGCCCCCTCCAAAAAAATGTCTACACCCCCTTGTGGGGCGCGACCCACCGTTTGAGAACCACTATTCTAGAGAGAACATACTTTTTTTGCAATGTGTCCTTGATTACTCAAACTTTTGGGTACAATCACATCACACAGACACGGAAAACCCTCGCAAGTTCAACTTGTATAGAGAAAGCCAATTAAACACTTTAATCATGATAATCTAATGGCGGCTTCAAATAATTACATGCGTTTTCTTGACCTTTATTCCAGAAAAATTATAGGGTAAAAATAGTTTCAAAACCAAAACAAGGCATGTGTTTGCCGCCACCGCCATACCACGAAAAGTTTGGTTGAAACCATAAATGTAACCAATTGATAGAAACAATTATTTGATTAAGGAATAATTACAATTAGCTAAATTCTGAATATTATGGTTCCTCATTCAGATTGTTGCGGTTAATGTAGACTTATTCAAATGAATAATCGCTTCATAGAAAATAATTAGAGAGGTGTTTAATCTTTCAATATTTTAATTTTCTGTTTTTTTTCGTCATATTTACCTTATACTAAGTCCTATTGACCTAAATGACATAAATCTTAAAACTGTTAACTAGCACATTAAAATCTGAAGTCTTAGGCTGGGAAATTAACATAAACGTCATCTAAACGTAGAATCGTAGCTTTAATGTGGAAACAAGAAATCGAGCGGTGTTAAAACCTAATATGGTTCGAGACCTATATGTTGCCATGAATTTACGTGACAAATGAATTGGTCGATTACGAAAAATATATGATTTTTCGATGGTATTCAAGATGCATGCTGCTAACATTTGCTGGAGTGTGGAAAACCAACCTATATTGTTGCGAATATATTCTCGTATTTTATGCATATATGTATCACCCCAATTGGTAGGTATTTTTCTTTGTTTGATCAAAAGGAATTTTCGTGTTATAATTACAGAGAGTGAGTAAAAAAAATGTGACACAGCCTTTTTTTAAATCGGGAAATTTTTATGATTTCAATATCATCAAATTCTGTTACATTTGCCTTCATTTTTATGGTGTTTGTTCATTTCAGATCCGGTCACAAAAGTGCAATTTTTTTCCCAGCATTTACTGTAAACATCAGCTCGAATCAAACACAGCCCGAGCTTGATTGAACATTTTTGCTAACCTGTAGTAACCTTTACATTTAGAACAAAAGCTATATATTTTTATATCAGACAGACAGTCTTGTTTGCGCAAATTAATGGTGGTTTGTTCTAATATCATGGTAGAAATTGTGGGCTATTTTCGACAACATTATCTTGCGCAAATAGTAGTAAATTTTTATAACCAAGGATGAGCTTCTGCTTAAAAAACCAATATATTTTGATGTTTCGTATTTGACAAACAGGCCTAGCAGTTAATGCCAACCGCCTTACATTGACATTTTCGAAAATAGAATCCCATTTTTGAAATGACACACATTTTATAATTCTGACATCTTAATAATTTGATTAAAACATTCATGGAAAAACGTCGTTTTTCCTTTTATTAACTAACTTTTTACAAGTTTATTGCGTGTTAATTTCTATTATATTACATTCCACATTGGTTGGTCATACTTTATGAGTTACAATCGTTACTTTTGCAAATTTGCAATATCAGTTATGACGTAGAAAATATATAGGAAACTATCAAAAATATGGCTTATGACAGGAATTGAAAAACGTGCTCTCATGGTTATTCAAAGTTTAGGAATTTAACTAGCGTGCCACTTCCGAGAGTTATTTTAGGGAATTTTCAATATCAGGTGTGACTAATAAAAAAATAGGGAAACATCAAATATGATCAAACATAAAAAATATGGCTTTTGATAGAAAACGAAAAACGTCTCACCTGGTTATTTGAACTTTGGGGATTTTGGCTAGTGCGCCGACTGATCCACTGGCCCGTGATTAGTATCAAATGAGCTAAGTAGATCAGCTACCATAGCTCTATTCATTTTGTTCTATTTCTCCTGCTTATTTGAATCTGGTTTAAAATAATTAATAAATTAAATTGGTTATGGTTATTTCCGGTTAAGTGTATCACATCTTGTTTTTAACATCTGTCAGGGAGCATTGTTCATCTGGCTTATTTAATATTGAATGAGAGTATACTCATTTAAACAAATAGCAGTATTGTTTATTACATGCCAAACAATTCCATCCACTTAGGCCAATGGTAGGGTATTTTACGACACACAAGTGCTCGTAAGCCACAAATGTATTGTGCCCATATCAGAAAAAATTTGAAGAAGTTACTTCCATAGATTGCTGGTGTAGTAGTGACTAGATATCTGTCTAGTTACTGTCGAATAGATTTCATTGGAATTATAAATTCTACAGGTTTGGCGTAAAATAATTTTATCGTGACCAGGTTAGGATTAGGCCATAATTTTATTCCGATTTTCCTTATTTTAGTTCTATTTCGAGTTCGGGGACTGTTTGTGTTAGCCAAGTGGATATACCCCCTGCCCATAGGTTTCAGTCCCGTTACACAACTTGATGTAAAATAAGCGAACAAAATTAGTTACATCCCTATTGGTACACATACTTCTAAAGCGCCATTTTTTCAAATATCAGGATAGCGATTGGTAAAGCATTTATGACACAATTTTTTTCAGTTAATGTCATATGCGCTATTATAATAAACCTAGATAAGTCAAAATTGTCGAAAAGTCGATATATTATTTAGTTAATGAGTGGTCGGAAATACCGGAAAGAAACGGCCGAACCAGAATTGTTTTTATAAAAATCTTACATTTGAGTTCTGGATGGCTTCGGAGATAGGAAATAGTGGGTAAAAAAGGTTAAATAAATGATAGATTACTTGTCAACTCAGGATTATCAATCTCGTTGTATTCGCTTCAGAAGCTCTATATTCGTATTCGTCTTAGCATGGTTGTTCGTTAAGTGTTAGAATTCCCCTTTATGTTGGCTTTCTACGCAAGAGAATTTTTCTATGTTTTACTTTTCCATTGATTTTGCTTCATGGAAAAATAACTGAAGAATGAAATTATATTCGAGTCTTTGCGTCAAAATAAACAATGTAGAATTACCAAATGCAAGCGAGGGATAATTGAGAAATATATTTCGGTAGCAAGTATATGCCCGACATACAATTCTCATAAGCCAATCTGAAACCAATAAATGGGATTATAGTTATATTTGAATACTGGACAACTTGTTACGTCACATTCAAGTAGTAAAAACCACACCTTTATGACCATTGACTTGAATGGTTTAAATTTGATCAAAACCACTTAGCGCTATCTTTGTTTTATAAGTGATTCAGGATTATTGCTGCACACTAACAAAAATATATTTCTGTAACATTTCGCCTGATCAAGGTCAGACTTCTTTAGACACACATTAGTTCAAATCAGCAAGACCTTGGAAGCACTTAAGATAGTTATCTTTACTCTTGCTACAGCATCCTTGCATTATATGCGTACATATTCACCGGTACAAAAGCATAGAAGAAAGATAAGTAGTTAGTCCCTCAGATTATACCAAATTATATTACTAAATTATTAGCGTTTGGTTTTTAATCTTTGTATTTTAATGAGAAATATATTCAAATTTATTAAAGCTGGTTAATCTCCATTTCACGATAAAAAGTCTAAACCGACTTCCACGATAGCATTTTCCAATGGTTAAATTTATTAAACAGTATCTAATTACCGTTCGACTTTTTTAAACTTAGTTACAGCATTTATAGGCATGTGATTTATTTCTAAACTTATTTGAACAACAGTGCTGTAGCAACTAAAATAGCAATACCACCTATTTTTAAAAACGTGTGTATTATTAAATTTTAGGCATAGTGTAAAACTGTTTAGTTTCCCGGTTTCTCAAAATTGTGTTTTTAGCCAAACGACTACTTACCTGTTCGTAATTGCTTAGCAATTTGATTTTTTATTAACCCGAGTTCAGTTCAAATTGTAGTTACTTTGTCATGAAACTCTCTCTCGTTTCGTGATAGTTTCTGGACATAATGTGGCTATTTTGTTCAAATTAGTCAGATGGCTATTTATAGATCACCTTCGGTAGTTTACATTTGCACGCGATCGCGGTGATAACCACACAGAGATAATGCTAGTTAAATACTCAAAGCTGTTAATAGAAAACTGGAGTGAACTTGTCAGAAATGTATAAAAAGTCGGTTGGTGAAATATTTTGTCATTCCACTTGGTTTCGCGGTATGAAAAGTTCCGAGGTACACCACAAATGATGGGCACTGTTGTTATAAGAAAGTTAAGCTGTTGGTTTTTTATAATGATCGGCTAATAACAAGAATTACTAAAAGAGTATTGCATTATTGTTTAGTTATTAGTTCAAATTCTTACGTCATTTTATTTTAAAACTCAAAGTTATTATGGTTAGAGCGAAGAACTGCGTTGTTATATTGACGTCCCCCTTTCGACGCCCTAACTAAAATAATAGTATTGTCAAGCTTGGGATAATAAATATAATAATATATAGATATATACAAGATGTCCAAAACATTTTGCCCGATTTTATAGTAATAATAATTGTAAGTGCAAACAAATTTTATTATATGATAAATGAAAGCCACAAGCACAATAAAAACTATTAATAAACACAGACAAAAATTTGTAATTGTTATTATTATGAAATCGGGCAAAATGTTTTGACATCCCGTCGTATACTTAGTGAGGTGAATTAATTAGATGAAATAATCAACAAAGCTTAACGTGTAGCCTATATATAACGATAATATTATTTATATTTATATTCCTTTATATTAAACTTGAAATCAACTAATTTTTTCATGTTTTTTTTTTATCAGAATACTAATTGCAACTTATATTCTTACATCTAAACTCAATAATGAACACATCAAAAATTGTTTTGATTATACTTCTTTTTGTGGCTGTTGGTTCAAAAGCCACAGTGTCCAGCAGAAGAAGAGGTCCAATAAAATTAACTGAAATTATATGCCGAAGATGTTGGCAGAAAATGTTTTCTTATTGTCAAGGTGCAGTTCACATGGTTAAACGAAGTGGTACGTTGATATTTATTGGTTTATAATTTTATGAAATGTATATTTTGCATACATTGATTTTTATTTCAATGCTTTTACGTGAACTCATCTGAATAAAGAATTGATTGAGATTAACAAATATAGTTATTCAACTTGGCAATTTCCTACTTCCCATACAAAAACGTTTGAGCAAAAACGGGAAAGAAAAGCAATTAAAAAAAACAGTTATTTTGCACAATAAGTGGCGCAATTATCAAAAGATACAACAATATTTTTCGGTACTCCCGTAATATGTGAACCACGATGGCGGACACCGGAACGTAGTATGTGTACCAGGTTAGAGTTAGGCCCTAATTTCAGATACAAATACTACGGGAGGCACTTGGCTAGTCCCCGAACTCGTAATATAACTAAAATAAGGAGAATTAAAATAAAATTATGGCCTAACTCTAACCTGGTACACATACTACGTTCAAGTGTCCGCCAACTTCGTCCATATACTACGGGATCGCCTATTTTTCAATCTTCAAAATAACCACAAAAAAAATTATGATCCTTATTCATGTTATAATTTTACTTTTACAGTCAATTCCGAAACTCAGAAGTATAAAGACATATCAGCAAATATTCAAAGGTCATCTGACTCTGCCAATCAATTATGGTTATCTCGAGTAAGAAGAGAAATATACTCACGCAGAAGGAGAGGAGTAATTCGACGTCACATCAGAGTTCAAATTAGAAGTTGTCAAGTATGCAGAGAACTTTGTTTCTACTGAACATCAAATCTTCAAGCTGAAATATGAATAGACATCGCACATATTTATCAAAAATTATTTATATACCTAAAGTATAATATTGTATTTATTCTTGGAGAAAGGTACAATGAAATTAAATTCACATAAAACAGACAATTAATTCATTCATGTGTTTTACTCACATTGAAAGTAATGACAAAAGAACAGAGAAGTAAAAACACAAACAACATACCATACTGTTTTGGTGACAAAATATTAAATGCATTGAGTTTAAATTGCTGCTGATTTTGGTCCTCAAATCGTGCTTGCTATCATTTTATCTAAATGCATTGTTTCGAATATTTTATATATTTATTATTTTATATATTTTTTCGTCAAATAATAACATAATTTTTATATCTCATTAATTTATTCATGAAAGAATATATTTATTCCGAGCACTGTCATATTGTTTATTTTTTCGTTTTAATTTTCTATTTTGCTATTTAAAGAGCAATAAAATATATGAGAATACTGATAACATGTTATATTAAGTCATTTCGAAGTTGGGTTGGTTGGTGCTAAGTATGAGAAAAAATTATATCAGATTGATCAAAACTCTGGCCCTTAAAATCACGGAATTTCAATACACAATACTTTTTTGATTATATATCTTCCCCAACATAAAAAAAAAACGCCACCCATGCAACACAACAATAGGCTGATTAAAACGATAAACTCTCATTCTTTAACACATTTAAAGTAAGAAAACTCGCATCATTTTGACCACTTTTAGATTTTCCCGACTGCGGCCTCAAAGCCTCCTCAAAATGTTTTACGACCCTTCAATCTCGCAACCTTGGATCACCCTGAGTTATATAATTAATTACAAAAGGGGCACGTAGCATTGTGGGATAAAAACTTACATTTTTAAATCACTAAAGTATTTTGAATGATTTGTTTGAAATTACACAAATTATTTATGTTAGTATATTGGTTATAGATAATTGTCAGGAATTAAAAATATTTATATGAGATTTGTTCAAATACTCAACTATTCGAATCAAAACGGTTATTGATGATTTGAAACGTTTTATTCAATTAATATATTCCATGAAATCCCACATGGCGTGAAAGAGGAAATCGACAGTAAGAATTTGAGATGGCTATATAGTAAATAAATCAATGTTTGAAAATTTTGGAAGACAATGACATAACAAAATTGATCGAAACTTCATGGCTTGCCTAAAACTGGCGATAAAAGATTGTAAATGCACAAATAGGCTATAAATAATTTCATATCGTATTTGTCTATATTTTACCTCAATTTACGAGCGATAAAAATAAATCTGAAACCGCAATTTGTCAGTTCAGTACCATTAGTAGACCGCGCTGTTTTAATAAATGTTTTTTTTTTAAATCTCTTTATCATTGTAAACTTGTAATTGTATGGTGGTTGCAATAAAATACAAAGCCGATTTGAGAACACATCAGATAAGAATTAGAAAGCCATATTACAAAGAGCTTGTTATGTATTTTTCGCTATCAGATCTAATCGCAGCAAACATCGAGTGCCGCTACACATCCTTGTTTTATTTAAAATCAACATTTTTTCGCATTCTGTCACAAATAAACAGCAGTGATATATAGGAGCGCAGGGGCAATCCGTTTTTCTGTCGCACGGTGCAAATGTCAGCTGCTTGTTAAAAGTGAGAACATTGGGCGACTGTACAATGACCCTACAATAATGTTATCTCAACAAGTTTTTTCGTTGACCTCGGCTGTTGATATTCATTACAAATAACGAATAATGAACATATTGCAAAACGGTAATTTTTTCTAAAACCGATAATCAATTTTACAAAACCTGTTGTGTCGATATTCAGTGTTTTCTCTTTGCTTAATTGCTCCCACGGCAGTGATTATTTAAATTGTTTCAAGCGACGTCAGCGGTCAATCAACACTTTTCTATCAGTGACCTTCCTCACTTTTTTATGAATTTCACTGAGGAATTGGCGTAAAGAGATGTATTTTCAATAGCTTTTAGAACATCACGGCGATCAGGCGATCAAACAAAATGAACCTATTTTGTTTTTACTAATATAAATATCTAATATTTCAATATTAACATTTCTTCTTGTAGAAGACCACATCTACTATAGTAACTATTCAATCTTTAATAATCACTTTAGAGTAGACAGTGGCATCGATTATATTCACTGTTTAGAATTTAGATAACCAAGTTATTATTCGGAACTTCCCACTATAAAGACGGCATAGTTTATTTTTTCAACGTTTATCGACTTGTATCGCAGTGAATTTCAAATTAGGAATCTAAGCAGATAACAATCGAGAATCTCTCGCTAATAACCTATCTTATATAAACAACAATTGCGATTCTAGTTTTAGCAAGATGTTTGAACTTGCATACCAATGTTACACATGTAATTGTTTAATTAAGTATTTTTACTCCATTACATATGTGAGCGCCCAAACAATATATGGTATTGATAAATATCCTTTTCAATTTTGAAATTTTAAAAAGAACCATGACTTTATGGACACCCTATTTTATCATTGATATATAAACTGGGTACACTAGTTTTTATTGCGAATGCAAGTACATTTAATCACGCCTATAGAAACTGTTTTAGGTAAAGTACACCCGTGCTTTTTGTGGTAGTTTAATACGCATAATGACTTAACAATGTACAAAAGCCAATACGATGGGAATATTCATATTATTATATATTATTATTATTACTGACTATGTCAAAAACTATTCTCATGAAACACAACAGAGTACGCTAACATTTTCACATTAGAGAACTTATGAGAAATTAGAGAAATTATAATATTCTATAGATTTGATAAATTTTATACCTATAAATAGATACATCTCTATCTATCGAAGAGTTCAGACAAGGTTTGAGTTTCCTCAAAATAAAGCTAATAATTGCATAAAATGACTCAAAATTGTCTTACGCGGAGACCTCAAAATACGTTTTCTAATTGCGCGCAGCGTCTTGGCAAAAATAAAACGTGAAATATGTGTGGAAAATTGTGTGCAATTTGTGACGCAGCGTCAATTATACTTTTAGAGCATTTTTCTATTAATGTCAATATATATTGTCAAACCGGAACAGGGTGGGGTTACATCATACGAGTATGTGTCTTATTCCGAGACGCTGAAGTTGTTGGAACTGTTGAAAAGTCTGGTGTCGGAAGAAATAATTATGGCTTAATTTGTTTTATGGTTTCAGGGGTTTAGCTGTTGCTGTGTCGTATCTTGCTTGAATTAATATATTAATTAATGACTAAATAAACATATATAAGAATAACATAATCTCCTTCCACGAAATAGCAAGTATGTTGGTGAGCTTTCGTTATAGATCATAGTCTAACGTTTTCAGACAAAACAGCAAATCTTAATCAATCAGCAATAATGCTGCAAATACATACCGATCCGAAGTAGAAAGTAAACAAGGAGTAAGGACTTTCAGTTCAGTATATAATACCTCAGTACGCCCTAAATAAACATAACTAAAAAATGACTTAATCAGTGAAACCCACGACATTCGGTCAGCACTAGCCGTAAAATCTCAAATTTTCGAACTCAAACCTTGTTCTTAAAGAAAAATCAATTGGGTAAATGCTTGTACTGATATAAGGTTCATTTATAATTTAATGCCCAGTAACTTGATTCCTCCGGTGAACAATCTTTGATTTTCATTCATATTGTCAAACATACAGTATTAAGAACATTGCAGCCGCAAAATATATTTATCAATCAAATAGTAAAAGTATATTTTGTTCAGTTGTTGTTTTTCAGGTCGTAACTTATTTTAAAGTGATAATTCAGGACTCTTTATGAAATTTTATCTTGAATATTTATCACTCATTTATTTCTGTCGAAGCTTTTGTAGTTTGTATGAAAATAAATCCAATAAATTTAGCAGATAATTGTATACGTGTTCCTAGAATAGAACCAGGCATATTGCAATTTAAAAAAATAATTCGATAATTGACGCACTACGTAATCTATTCAATAGATATGGGAGAAATTTTGGTGCAATTCGTTACGTGATTGCGTGCATTTGCGTCCATTTTAGTGAATAATATTCACGAGCGACTCGGAATTAACTTAATTCTAACTTTGGCCCTAAAATCATAGTTTGGGTTTGATATTTTTGATAATATAGTGGACTTAGAGCAGGAGTCATGTTTTAAAAGTATCCGATGTTAATTACTCAATTTGGAGTGTTGAACTCTTAGATTTTTGCCAACGAGGCCTAAAAACTATTCAACACCACCCTACTATAGTCATTATTTCATTAATTAGTTGTGTATTGAAATTTATAATCCTTTAAACAAACAAAGTTTATCACTGTGTCCTTTGGGAACATTTATCTAAGTGTATCAACTATAGTAAGGGCGCGTTTTTCATCATGAAAGAACATTGAGCCGACGGATAAAATAGTTGAAAAATGTAATAAATTTTGTTGTTATGAGTTACGTTTTGACGTCTCATTTTGCTGTGTCCACTCCACCTATTTATGTGCATCAAACCGGTTTAGAAGATGAGCTACTAATTAATAGAAGTCACTAAGTCGGAAGAAAATTATTTGGTTAGGAGTCGTATTCCTTCATAGTTTATATAAGTTTTATGGACATTGCACGTCTATACTCCGTTCGAAGTTGTAGATGTTATAGTAGTGGATAAGTAAATTTTTTTTACCAATTTGTCAAAGTAAAGTTGATTATCACTATTAAAAATATAGCAAAAATATTCTAAATCAAGAAAACATTGTAGAACTACTAAATCAGGCTTTCCAGAGCGTAATGTAACTATTCATTACAGTAAGCACATCCATATATCTCGAGCAATGACTCTTTTATTTTTGATACAGGACATACAGAAATAGAAGGTTATTATATTCAAATTGCATACAATTTTCCACATATAATCCACGCCTTGTCATTGCGATGCGCAAGTCGCTGCGTGCAATAGGAAAAACGTATTTTAGGGTTGAAGCGTAAGACAATTTCGGGTCAATTTTTGCAATTATTATCTTTCATTTGAGGATACTCAAACCTTGTTTTAACTTTTCGATAGATAAGGATTTATCACATCTGTAGTATATTATAATTTCAGAGGACAAAGCTCAAAGAACAGTAAAGCATAACGTCTCTACACCTTTTCACATCAACGCGGCAAATAACGGAGTAGCAGAAACATTCACAACGAAAACGAAGTAGACAATAATGTAGTCTTTTTATAATTTAAATTTAAGTCGTTTCACGCGGGAAAAACCTTCATGATTATGATCATTTCTAAAAATAAACGAAATCGTCGGTCATATTGCTGTCAAATATCACCAAAAAGTAACCTTTTATTCAAAACTATTCTAGAATGAATTAGGAGTTTAAACAGATTATATTTAACAAATTTTAATTATACAGACTATGCCCAAGCAAAAATCTTAGGAAATCACTTATATAACTTGAATTTATGTCAAACCGGTATTAGAA